CTTGTACCAAGGTTTGTAAAAACAGCTTTGAATGGTGCCGAAAAAAGGAGACGATCCATTGAACATTTCTAAAAATTATCAACAATCACCAATACTTAATTGATGAACAACATTAGTTATAGCGTCTCTTTAAAATAATAATAAAGAATAAAAAAAATAAAGCTTTCGTCATATTGGTTACTAACTTACACTGTATATTTGTTTCTGTAATTGGCCTTTTAGGGTAAGTACAGCGTTGTTTTTCTGGTTAGTATTGCAAAGAAGTTTCATAATGATAATTATATTAGTTTTAAAATCGTTATAACTCACTTACTTTGTGGCAATTCTTCTAGGGCGTTGCCGATGTTACATGGCTTTTTTACACTCCAGGTCCCAGTTGTTCAAGCGTTGGATAACGCTATTCACCGGATAAATCACTATCCAGCGCCGGATAAGCATTACGAAAAAAAATTGCGCTATCCACCGGATAGAGATCATTTATCCAGTGGATAGCGTTATCCACCTTTTGAACAACTGGGCTTGGCTCATTTTGTAAAGCGAAAGGCTCAAAGAACCATCGGTACAAATGTACATAGGATTGAGTTTGAAGCAAGAGTAAGCATAATATATTTGTTCAGTACTATCATCAGGGACCGCGGAGCAAGGTGAAAAGTGGGAGGGCTGACAATTGAAAATAATTTTTCAATAAACGACCAACATACACGGTCAGTTCAGATTCAATGCAAGAAAAGACGCGATTACAATTTTAGTATAGAAAATACTACACTGAAGTGATCTGAAAAATTTCTAACTATGGCTGTTCAGGCGTTCACTGTTCAAGTAATGTAATTCTTCTTGCCGTCGAATATTTCATTGATTCGAAAGGAGAAAGACAAAATATAAAACTTTTATCAACTCAAAACAACTACTCAGCTTCGTTTGGCTTGAAAAAGCTAGTAATTTTCTTCATTTCGTCTTATAAAACTGATAAAAAAAACTCTGCCAGAGCTGGAAGTACAAAACACGCTGCCGAACGAAGCGAAGGGGTGGCCATGGAGTTTGATCAAGGGGCAAGTCGGCCCCAGGGCACAATTACCGCGAAAAGCACAGGAGCCCCACAAAATGCCTGGCGTTTGAAATTAAAGAAAATACAGGGAATATAGCGGAATATAGACGGAAAAAAACCTTGTTTCAAGTCTTTTTTTTATTTTAATTATTTTTCTTTTTAGGGCAAAAAGTGGGGTCGGGGGCGCAAAAAAGTGGTGGGGCCGCGGCCCTACCAGCCCCTCCCCCTCCGCGGTCCCTGATCATGACATAATTTTATTTAAAAAAAGGGAATGTGACTTGTGACTTTTGAGTGCGGAGCGGTTGTTTGACTGTATCTTCATGTATTGAAGCCTTTGGAATGAGTGTGTAACTTCTTAAAACAACTGAACAAAGTATCATCCTGCCCAAACTTATCTCAGCAGAAAGTGTTACTCACACCTAAGCTCTTTTATGAGAAATACTGCTGTACGCTCTCCCATCCATGGGCCCCGGGTTAAATTATCATTTATTATCGATCTCTTTGGGGTATATTTCCTGCATAAATTACAGTCCCCATGTTGATAATAGTGAACTTGCACAACAGGAGAGGGAAGAAGAGTCAATGGGGCGGGGTGGTGGGTGGGAGGGCAAACCTTGTGTGGCAAGATAAGCCTGGCAATAATATTGTTTGAAAGAATTCTTCGCAGAACTTCACTTTCCTTTGATCAGATCTTTTTGTAAAAGACCAGGAAGCACTAAGGTTAAGTGAAGATCACGACAAAACACGTGATTAATAGCCCTGTCATGTTTGTCTCACTCGAGCGTTTCGCCGTCCTCCTCTTCTTCCTGCCGTTCTGTTGCGTAAACTCAATATTGTCAAGATGATGGTGTTATTTCAATAAGTACTAGTTGTTGAATTTTTATATAAACTCATCTTTGCATTTTTTGGAACTTTGGTGAATCAGGTGGCCTATGTATAAAATATAGAGTACGTCCTTACCAAGTACACATGTTGTACCATTTCCTGTATATTTTGGTTTGCATGCACAGGAATACGATCCTCGGGTATTTGTGCACACTGCGTTGATATCACAGCTGTGATCATTGCTAGAACACTCGTCCACATCTAAAAACGTGCGATAATATGTCACGTTAGGTTTTCATTTATCTGTAACTTCCGTCTGGTATGTTTTATAGAAGCTCTTAGCCAAAAACTACTTGGTTAAGTAAACACTTTTAACTGGTGTTTTCTCTTTCATTTTCTAACTTACCATAACATGTTTTTCCATCCCCTGTATATCCCGCCTTACACGAACAGGTGTGTGAGCCCACAGTATTTTGACAAACAGCATTGACGTCACAAGTATGAGAGTTGGTAGTACACTCATCTAAGTCTAGAACCAAGCAAAGGCTAGTTAAGAAATTCTTCAAAAAACCTTTTCTTGTCTTCCATGTGATTTTTGAAAAACCGGAGTTACCAAATTTTAAAAACTTTCACTCGATCGGAACAACAACAAACAAATATAGATAATGAGACCAAGAGAAAATATAATAAAACCAGTTCTCAAAATGTACTATATAAATTTCATGTGCAGGTGTTTTTTGAAAAGCCGGAGCTACCTAATTAAAATTTTCACTCGATCGGAAAAACAACAACAACGACATCAAACAAATAGTGATAATGTGGGCAAGAGAAAATATAATAAAACCGGTTCTCAAAATGTGCCATATGACTTTCTTGTGCAGGTCTTTTGTGATGGAAGGATAAGTAATAATATGATCTTAAAATAAATTAATTGAAGAGAAAACCGACAAACCTTCGATTTCTGTAACTGGCATTTTCTTTTTCATTTTCTAACTTACCATAACATGATTTTCCATCTCCTGTATATCCTGCCTTACACAAACAGGTGTGTGAGCCCGCAGTATTTTGACAAACAGCGTTGACGTCACAAATATGAGAGTTGGTAGTACACTCATCTAAGTCTAGAACCAAGCAAAGGCTTGTTAAGAAATTCTTCAAAAGACCTGTTCTTGTCTTCCAAATTTTAAAAACTTCACTCTATCGGAACAACAACAAAAAAATAAAGATAATGAGGGCGAGAGAAAAATAATTAAAAAAAACGACGAAACCTTCCTGTAACGTAACCAAAGCCTCTGGAAATGTCTCCAATTGCTTTTTGTTTCCACGTATGGGCAACAGGGCATTTACAGTTTAAACCTTTTATATTGGGTAAAATATCATCACCAGTGTTATCTTAGAGAAAAGTATTTCCCACTTCTATGCGTCCTTACTTGGATAATAGTGCAATTTTATCAAGTTTTTATCAGGGAATAGTTTTAGTTGGCCTTGGATGGAGGTAAGCAGTATTTGTTCTGATTGTATATACAACTATTTCGAGAAAGATTATCGGAAAAAATGTGCACGCGAAAAGCAATCCCGAAAGGTAATATGGCATATGATCAATACACTGTTCCTGACATTGTAGCTGTCGAACCTACTTTTGTTACTTTCCTCTAGCACTCGCAAACGTACGTCCATGTTCCCTTGTGTCATTCTTTCAAACTTTTTTGAAGAACAGTGAATTCAAAACCACCCTTTCGAAATAGCTGTATATTTTTAAGTCATGTATGCATAAAAACATTAAATTTGCGCGAGAATACAATATAAAGCTGGGGTATTTGACACAAATCTTTGAAATCCCAGCATTAAGCGTTGTCAGAACACTCTTCTACATCTTACTCAAAAATACTCATATGAAATATGATTTTATGTTTGTGTACCATTCAGGTGTAACTGCTGTCTAATAAAAATGTATATGTTTGGTGAAGATTTAACATAATAACACAACTTTGAAAAATTATTTTAAGTGCCAAGATACTTTGAACTGGCATTTTTTTCATTATATTCTTTCCATAATATGTTTTTTCATCTCCCGTAAATCTGGCTTTACATGAACAGGTGTATGAGCCCGCGGTATTTTGACAAGCAGCATTGACGTCACAAGTATGGAAGTTAATTGTACACTCATCTAAGCGCAGTGACGCGAGCAAAGCTTCAACAAATCAAACCCACATGCATGCTGTTAAGAAAAACTTTTCAACGCGTTTTTACAAATTTGTTTTACTCTTGCGCATGTATGCTTTGGCTCTTTTGAAAATGGCAGAGTCAACACATTACCATTTTTCAAGTTTATCTCCTATAAGAAATTATTCTGCATAAAAAGGTTTTCTGCAAAATTGACTGTTCAGTTTGGAGTAGAACATTAAGCTTTCGCCTTCCAGCCTGTAGTTTCGCAAAACTACTACTCGTCTTTTAGCTTTCAAGGCATTCAGACTGGAAACCGAAAGCTCTACGTGGTGCTCTTAAAACAGTTAAGCACAGAATTTTTTTTTCATCCAGGATAGTTTCCTTTTGATGTCAAACAATACCTTACTAACCTGTAAAACAAGTGTAGTTGTAGCAGTTATGACAAGGCACATCATTCCAAGTGTAACCATGCCTGGCGCCAAGGGTGTGAACGCAATCTTCGTTTTTCCAGTTGTTGGGTTGTCTTGGAGCCCAGAACCTAAAACTACTTATCTCTTTGTTTGTCCACACAAAGGAGCCCTCCACCCTTCGGTCATTGAGTCCAATCCAGGATCTGTCTCCATTGTGACGGTGTTGAATATAAACATTTTCCTCTTGGTTGTGCACTGTCACCAGATTTGAACTCATGGTTGAGCAATTTGCTTCTGCGGTCATCCAAGAAGAGCATGCGGCACTTGTGAAGTAGCAATAACCGCCAAAGTAACTCCATCCTGTTTGGCAAATATCTAGAATTTTGAGGACACAGAATAAACTGAATCCTTTTCGGGAACCAGTTCCATTTCTCATACATGCTAACCCATATTCAGTTCATAAGCCTTAAAACAACTCTGTGTGCAATCCGTGGAGTACCAAAATATGTTGGTCCTTATTAACCATTGTGGTTGTGGGAAAAATAATGCGTACATATGTCTTGAGTGAGGCGATGAAATGGGATAGCCGCCTCACGTTTTGGCACCTTAACCTACAAACAAGTATGTCTATTTTGTCTGTAAGCTTATTATGCATCGCAAAGTGGTTTCATAATAGGGACGGAGACTGTCTGGAAAATTTCCAAATTGAAACATGAGGAGCCGCATAAAGTCCCTTTACTAATTACGTTGAGTGACGGTTGCTATGCTCAATTTCCTGTTATAATTTTACCTCCGATCTCGTGCAGGTTAGCAGGGGTCCGACTGGCTGTCATCGATAGTGATTTTCACAGAGGCGATGAAACAATCCTAAATTTCGCAACTGTCTGGTAATATGGTTAAAACAGTATTAGCCGGGGTAAATATAGTCGAGCGCGGTCTATTCAACTATTCTCCGGATCGGATCATCCCGATCAAGCCATCATTGTATGGATTCTTTTTTACGGTATCCCGGTCGAGAATTTCTGTGTTGATTCAAACTCATTTCCCTTACAAGCTTGTTGGTATTTGAAAGAAAATTTTAACAGATCGAACAGGTTAGCAGAGTTCAAACTGAGATGGCCAGCCTTCCTTCGTCACATTGGTTCAGAAGCGAGGCCATTTCAGCCTTAAATCAGTAGGTTTACCTAGCGACACATTAATTCTGGTTTTTTATGACTTGCTTAATCGTAAGACGCCTTGAAGGTAAGGACAATGTTCGATTCTTTTCCTTTAATTTATTTATTTCTGCCTCGAACATATCCGCGCCAAAACCTCCTAAATGCCCGCCAAATTTAATGTGGCGCGCTCGTGAGTGATCGTACGTACAGTGTTTAGGAAGAAACAGGCCCAGCGCAACTTCCACTGGAGGCAATTTTGTGTTACTGCAAGAAGTACCCTTATAAAAAAGTCGAGAAGCTTCTTTATTATTAATTTCGCGCTACGTTTTCTCTATAAACAATGGAATGTGTTGAAAATTGCAGACATCCGTGTTTCATAATACACGCGTACACACTTAGCGGCCAAATTGCCACATATTTTATCTTTTTACAGCTGTTTTGCTTGTTGCCGAAGTTTAAATGCTACATCATGATCCAGTGCGATTTATAGTTGTTGTTACATGCTCAGATCTTTAATTTGTTTGAATTAATGAGAAAATTATCTTGTAGTCTGTAATTATGCGTAGTATTGCATTGTTGCATGCGTTCACTGCCTATGAAAACAATCGTTTTCCTAGTAGTATATCGGATAGGCCAACGGACTCCCACTGGTGGCAAATTGTGCTACAAAACCATAAATAAGGGATATTCGAAGTATAAACCTCACAAAAGCTTTTGATTTTGATCAACAACGAAATGAGTGACTAAAACGCGTTAAAAATAACACATGCTCGTGTTACCCATACCCCTACCGTCCTAAATGTACTTCACAGAGAAGGGTTGAGTGTTGCTCGTTATTTGTAAGTCTCTGAATCTTAGCAGCTTCCTTTTTCTTTTCTATAATTTTTACCGGGGAATCGAAATGAATTTTAGTTGATTGGTTCCCCCCTATTTGTTTTTCAAAAAAACACCACTGCAAGAACGCGTACGGTCTCTATTATTTTTCATTAACAGCCAGAGAGCTTTAATTCACCGAAACTAAAACAGATTCATAAAATGTACATGGTTCAGGGTATTCTGTACGTGCCTTTTATGTTGGGTGTGTCGCCTGATTAAAAGCGAGCGATCGGGTGAGTCGCCTTCGCTTAGTGCAAGAAGACTTTGTAAAACGTGTATATTTAATGAATCTTTCTGTAAAGAACGAGGCGGCCAAGGAAGCTTGAAAAATAGTTTTTGAAACGTCTTGCCAAATATGTTTTTATTTTGTTTGGGGATTGCTAAAATTGCCTTTCAACTAGACGCTGTAAAATTCGCAATTGAACTTATTCTTCGGATTCAAAACAATGACCAAAGTTCCGTCTGCACGTGCTCTTTTGGGTGAGTCGCCTGAAAAAGCAAGCGATCGGGTGTGTCGCCTTCGCTTAATGCAAGGGAACTTGGTTTTTATTGGTTATGGCTCGCAAGTCCGTTTTGAACGAAATAAATGGTTTCAGTCATAATTAATGAACATCATATAGGTGACCTTACAAGTTTTTTTATTATAAGAAAAATATAAGAGCCTTTTTACGCCGCGAACAGGATGAAATAGAAAACTTCACCGGCCTTTTCTCAAAAAAAGGGAATAGTCCCGATTTAAATTCTGCTCCCCAGAAAAAGCTACAATGAAAATTATTTAAATTTATACTTTAAATTCAATCAAATTTATTTAAATCGCTGCAGTTCGTTCATTTGTGGTAAATAAATGCATGTTGATTCTGAGGTATCCCCGGTTAAATAATTTGTGCAAAACTCCTCTACACCGCCGCAAGTTTTCCGAGTGGTGCGCTGTTTCGGAGTGATTTTTACTTCACCAGGTTCTTTTCTTTAGTTGTTTTCGTCTCATCAGCTCAGTTTTATTATTTCTGTAGTGTCTGCTAAAATGATCCGTTGAAAGATATGTCGAATAAAGCTTCAGTAGGAGGTCACGAAAGGAGATTCCCATTTCACCTCAAGTATGGTTTCAAGCTGTCAACGGTCTATGCTTGGCTGAATTTAAACAATGGCTTCCTGGTCAGATGGGGGACAAATTTTCCCCCATATTTCGGTCGCTAAGGCTTGCGGCTCGCCATGAAAGGAAGAACTTTCAAATTTTCTTCTATTTTGCCAATCGCAAGATAGTAAATTAAAGAAGCCAAAGCTTGGACGATTCCCCGATGCATTATTGGCAGCTTTTGTTAATGCAGTTAATGCACGAACATCCTATTTTTTAACAGTTTTTAACAAATTGGTTTACTCAGATGTGCACTTTCTTAATTTTAGAACACTACTTACGCTGCAAGTGCGAACTTAGAAATAGGTGATCGCGAAGTCAGAAATAGGTGATCGCTATCGACAGTGTGTTACACAGTGTATCCAAATTGATTTCAATAATAGATAGAGTGAAATAACTGATTGAAAAAGAAGCTTTCTCAAGGGAGGTTCATGATGTTTTGACCTACGTTTTGGGCGGGGTTAGAGTTTCTAAACCCAAATTTAAGGGAGGGTCAATATCTTTTGACCCTTGACTTAGACTTTTGAGTAGATCTCCCCGCTAGTGATTCATGTACACTCCCTTCTGAAACCCACCACTTCTTACCTGACAATACAGTGTATGATACGGAAAGCGGGTCATACTTGGATTCGTACAGTTCTTTTAAACAAACTCGGGCCCCTGTTGTGTTAATGTACTGAAAAAAAAAACATAATTGAGCTGCATGTGATTTTGGCCTCTTACAACGGTCGCCACGGTCGATTGACGACAAAAACGTTCGCTCTATTGATCCAGGTAATTTGGAAGAGTTGTGTGTGCCTTCTGCGATACTTTGATAAGGCTTTTTTATATAAAGAATAACAAATTATACTACAAACAACCAAAAACAACAGCAACAAGTAAGAATATATAGTAAAACATTTTCAACTCTGTCCAGACCGAAAGGGGAGAGTAGAAGGCGACCGAACGTGCTCAGACTTTCAACAGCTACAACCACCAAATTCTGTTACCTTCACAGCCATTTTTAGCGCCATGTTTTGTTTACATCCAATTGTATGTGCTGCTGTGGCAACCGAGTTTATGAGCACAGTTGCAAATTGAGAATTTTAGGGTTAAGTTTTAATGATCCGTTTGCAAAAATATTCCCATATCAATTTTGCAAACATAAGATGACAAATCCAAAATGGCGGCCATTTGGGGACATAGCAATTCTTGGCAGTCGATCGTACTATACGGCGTAGTTTGGTCAAGTAAGCAGCCAGAGATATTTTGTGACGTTTAAATGTTTATCGTGGGCCTAAAAAGCCTGAGTATAAAACTGAATAGTAAGCTTCCTTTTCCTATGTCGGCAAGTCATGCATGTTACATGTAATTTCTTGTATCTTTTTGCCTCAGCTTGTGTCCTTTGTAAATTCATTTCTTTAATGTTGGCTTGGTTGTTCCTGTCAATTTACCTCAACCCAAGTAGTAATGGAATTGTGCATGGGGTCCTGATTTCCACCAGTAGATGTATGGTTCGCTGACACGAAGATAGTCGGGGTAATATTGTACACCCTGATAAAGTGAATATCCTAAAAAATAATTTAAAAAAAGCAAGTTAAAAAAAAGATACTTTCATGTTTATCAGTCGCCAGACAGGTAAATCAGTTACGGAATGATAGACATGAGACAGTGATAACTGACCTCGCAGAAAGCATTGTTATGATCAGCTGGAGGAATCCCAGAGTTTGCAAAATAAACAGAATCGTGTTCTGCAAAAAGAGGCTTGTGAAGTGAAGAAAACGCCAGCCAGTTCTAAAACAAAATGAATTTCAAAATAATACAGTCAACTCCCTCTTTAAAGGACACCCTTAAAAGACAGCGACACCTCGCTAAACGGAGACCTATAGAGTTGGCTCCTACCGTTCTTCAGTCATACTATTCAAATTTGTATAAGAAGGACACCTCCCTAAAACGGACACGCCTTGAGCTGACCCCTGCCTTTCCTCTGTCGTTATAATTTATTTGACTCTCTATAAGACGAACATTTCCCTAAAAAGGGCACCTAGAGTTGGTCCCTGCCGTTCTTCAGTTACAGTATTTGACTCTGTAAGACGGACACCTCCCTAAAACAGAAACCTAGAGTTGCATTTGGTCCCTGCCATTCTTCAGTTTCAGTATTTGACTTAAGACCGACACCTCCCTAAATCGGTAACCAAGAATTGGTCCCTGCCGTTCCTCAGCAGTATTTGACTCTGTACTCTGTAAGAAGGACACCTCCCTAAAACAGAAACCTAGAGTTGGTCCCTGCCGTTCTTCAGTCATATCATTTGACTCTCTACAAGACGGACACCTCCCCAAAACGGGCACCTAGAGTTGGTCCCTGTTGTTCTCCAATCATAGTATTTGACTTTCTATATAAGACGGGCATCTCTTTAAAGGGACAAATAGAGTTGGTCCCTGCCTCTCTTCAGGCATACGCGCTGTAAGATGAACGTTTCACTAAGACGCGTACGGACATGTACACGGTAACAAATAATTTGAAGCTGAAGCTGCAAACTTTGACCAAATTAGGCGAGCATTTTCAATTAGTGGAAGTGGGACGAAGTGTCACGTGACTTTCCTTGTTTGGAGGTCATCGTCGAACTAGTCCTTATATTCATATGGAAACTGTTACTAAAAAGGCCTGACTTATCAGTTGTTAACAGCAACAAACTGTGACGTCAGAGGTTAAAGGTTGATACCCCCAATTACGCGCGAACATTTTGATGTTAAAAACACTATTTCACTCAAGCAGGGTAGAAATGAAAGGAAGACTTTGATACAAGCCTAATCTTTTTTATTCATTTATGTACATGAATTCTTCCAATTAGTTACCATTTAGTTCCCATTTGAGAAAACGCGCCTTCAAATAAATCGTTTAGTTACAGTTTTACCCATTTTTTACACTTTTACGGTGACTATAAAGTGGTCGAAAGGGATCTTGGTTGTCCAGGTCCTAACCTCAGAGCTAATTCTCAATCTATCTCGAACTCAAACTGAATCAGTAATTATATTTATAAGTTGTGATGAAATTATCCTAAATGCTTACAACATAAATGTCCTCGTGGGAGCCAGCGTAATTTTGCAGTTCCCGTAAACATATTTTGACGGAAGATTGTGTGATGTCCTCTAACCAAATACTGGCGGCGTCTCTCTTCAGTCCGGCACGGTGATGTTCTGCGGTAACAAACACTGAAGGATCCTTTGAAAACTTGCCCTGATTGGAAAATGGTATAAAATTAAGTATAGGAACATCCTCGGAGACCCAGGGGCAGTCAGTCGGGTCGGGAAAAAAAGGCGGGACGAAAGTTTTCAAGTAAGGGCGGAAGATCCCCTGGGTACCGACTCTCACCGAACTATTTCCAAAAATTCAAGCGGATGCCGGCTCCTGATTGGGCACAAAAAATGCTTTGCATTATTGTGCCCAATCGGCGAACAATTTCTCCTGACTTCTTTTCGTGAGTTTGTACACGACGGCTATTGTCTCGCCACACTTGCCCGGTTCGTTCACCAAACTTGTGCGTACAAGGGAAACTTTTATTTTCTACTTTCCTAACCAGAAACAAAGGAACTACCGATGAGTTGAATAAACGTGTGGGTTACTATCAGCAAGAGCAACTGAATTTGCCCCGAGAATATTCTGTTTTTGACGGATCACAATTAAGATGCAGCGGCGATGAGAAATTCAAATGAGTAACAGCTTGACAAGGCTAAACAACAACTTTGCACGTGCATCACGCTTTTTTGTACATTTCTTTGCCGTCAACTGCACGACTACTCGTGAAAATGCCAAATTTCACGTTTCGTGAAGGACGTAAACAAGCAATAACAAAATTCATTCTCTCTTCATGAACTTTGATATGGTTCAGAAGAGTTCGCTTGCATTTGTCAAAGTAAGCGAGTTGGATCAGATGGGGATTTTATATCAAACTGAAAGTTTCCTGACTGCGTGCATTTCTTTGGTGCATAAGCTACAACAGACAAGCCGCGATCGAGACAATAGCCGTCATGTAAGAACACACGAAAAGAACTCATTGAGATGTGTTAGCCGATTGGGCACAATAATACAAAGCATTTTTTTTACCCAATCAGGAGCCGGCATCCGCTTGAATTTTTGGAAATGGTCCGTTGAGAGTCAGTACCCAGGGGCTCTTTCGCCCGTAATGAAAACTTTCGTCCCGCCTTTTCTCCCGACCCGACTGACTGCCCCTGGGTCTCCGAGGATGGTATAGGAAAAACAGGCAATGAGGTAAAGCAAAATACGCTTTGATGGCGTCTAACTGCTACTTTTCTTGACAAAATGGTCCGTGTCATTTCATACACCGTCTCATATAACAGACCTTGAGCCCTTTCTTCTAATATCTGGTAACTTCTCTGGGTTGAAGTGTAGCTTGCATTACAAATCCGAGCAATAAATAATCTAGTCCATTTGTCTCATAATCCGATAGTTTTTTTGACGTTACTTACAAAACTAGTAAAACATTGACCTTTGATGTGAGGGAAATAGACCTTTACAGCTTGCATTCTTGTTTTCACAATAAAGATCACAACGTTATGCACACATATGCACTAGTGAAAAGGACGACATTTGAAAAAAAGAAAAATAGTTCTGATGAGGTAACCTCTCGTAGTCTGAAATGGGAAAACAAAATATGCGAGCCAAAGAGGTCTTTTAAACAATTTTTCAATGAACTATCCAGAAAATTTATTATGAAAAAGTCACGTATTGGCTTTATATTTTCATGGTAGACCTCTGATGGAAGCCCGGTAGGGGTATTGATAGCGAGTGATACTGTTAGTCGTCGTCGTCGTCGTCGTAGTCAGAAGCAGTTAAGCAGTAGGTATGCGTTTTGAAAAGATCTACTGACTTACCGAAGGGAAACTCACGGTCTTACAAGTCGTTCCAGTCCACCACTGTGACATGCGCACCTCTCCAGTGACCCCACCCACTGGAGCTCCCTGATACGCTATCCAGTCTATGGACACATTAGCACTGGACTTGCGCTCGTTATACCCTGCCGCCATCACGCACCCAGTGAATTGCTCGTAACTTACATCTTCAATCCACGACACAGCAGCATCGTGGACATATGTCATGTCACTGGTATCGATGTGATTGACAGTTATCTGTACTTGGATAGGTTTGTCAGGATAGAATACAAACGGTCGGAAACGAACAGCTTCGCAATGAGAGTACCCCAAAGATGGTATGTGGGGCATGTGAATTCGACCGCGCTGAAATGGGAACCCTGACAAATAGAAACGGAAATAAAAAACAAAACGAAACAAAAATCATTAAATTATGGTAAATGCATAGAGCAAAATGAAAGCAGTAACAAGAACGTAGCTTTCATTGAATGCGTAAATGATTATTGTAGGAGTTGGTGTGAATTTTTTTCTTAAAATGCTTACAGTTGACAGTCTAAATCTGATGTTTCAGATAAAGTCTTTAGAAACTAATAAATGAGCAGCGTACTGAGTTGCTAACCTTCACAACCTCCGGGATGTTGGACAGAGTAGTTGAGTCGCAACAGACACATTTCCTGTTCAAAGAGACACCTATTATCAAACGTCGTTCCGTTGGAGGAACATATGGGCTCTTGGTAGGATGGACAGTTTTCTGCGTGCACGCAGCGGGCATCGTATGGTCCAAAAGCCTTACAAAGACAGTGGTAATCACAGGTTACGTCCAGACAAGGATCCAGATCTAGTAGGAGTGTACAAAAATCGCGTTTCACATAAGTCTAAGCTCGATGAAACAACAACAGCAAAGTGAAAGATACAGTTTACATAAATTGTACAAATGTATCTAGGCCTATACCTTTTTCCTGACGCACCGATTTTTCTGGAAAATTTGTCCTGCGCGTCATTCATTAAACGCTTACTAAATCTCACAAACATAACACAACAAGCCAGATATAACCAAGACCAATAGAATAGGCCTTTTTCAATAGTTGGTCTCGTGTTTCCACCAGGCGGCTCTTCCATTACACATAAGTTCTAATTCTCGGGGGGTCTTTCGTAGGGAAATTCTTGGTCGGGGTGTGCAGCACAAAAGCGCGCGTGAGGCCAATCTCCTTTCTTGCGCAGGCCTCGCAGTCTTTAAAATACGGTGTGCACGTAACTATAAAGGCTTGAATTTAAAACGGATCTGCCTGTTTATCTTAAATGACAAACAGCTCTTTTTATTCTCATTTCTTTGTACTAAGTAAGTATTTTTACATACCTCCAATAACCAGGAAGTCGACTTTAATTGTATTGTTACTGATCCTATCGTAGTTTCGTACACAGATCTTTGTATCTGTTTTGGTTGAATTCTTTAAATGAAATAAAATATTCGATTAATTTTCTTTTTTTTTTCTTATAATAATCATGTAGTCCAGTATCGTCAAAGTTGCGTCCTATAAATCTCGTATATTCTAATATATATAACATGGTGTGCACCGAGATCTCCTACCTTACTAAAAAATTCTTGAACATGTAACGTGAACATGCTTTTTTTATCATCAGGCGGTGCATTTTTTGCAGTTAACAACAATCTTACCTCAACCCAGGTGGTGACTGCGTTACAACCAGAAAGCAAATTGTTGCCACTATAAACGTATTTTGGTGTTATTAACACCACCGGAGGGGCAAAGAACGGATCTGCGAAGGTGATGTTCTGGTAAAGAAAAGCAATGAATTATTTAAAAGAAGTATTTGGGCAGCTATGTTGCAAACAAACGAACAAACAAACACACAAACAAACAAACAAATAATAATATCAAGCTATGCTCAGACACATTCGATTATAAGAGAACGAATGCAATTCAAATGGACATTGCAAAACAGTGCAATTTAAAAATGTTACCTTTTAACTTCTTACGTATACCTGACAAAGGGCGAAGTTATCTTGCGATCGAGATAACGATCTGTTGTTGGTAAATGTCAAACTATCAGCCAAAGTAAAATTTTGAACCCTCAGATTGGTAAATGCCATCCAGTTCTGCTTAAAAAAAAAACATATGAAAAAGGACGTCGGATTATCATTTCAAAAACGAAGAAGAATGTTGACCTACAAGTAAACAGGTTATAAGGCCTCTCTAGCTCAGCCGGACAGAAAAGTGGGTAGTGGTTAGATTTCTCCTGTCTATACCAGTTGTGAAAATAAACAATTTGCTTTATTAGTTAGTGACCAAATCTTACATCTCGCCATATACATCTCCATTTATAGAAAGATAGCCTGAGTGTTTCACGCGTTAAGATTGTAGGGCGCGGGCGTACGATTGAACTCGCTGTCCGCCACCATCTAAACGCCTAGAACAGGTTAATAGAAAGAGAGCATTTTAATGTTTGGAAGAGAAATTTTAGTGGGGTTTACCGTAAATCCTCTATTAAGCCCCCCCTCTCAAATAAGCCCCCTTCCTCTAATAAGCCCGCACTCTCAGCGGAAGAAAGTTAATAAGCCCTCCCTCTCTATTAAGAACTCGGAATTCAATTATAGACAAGCACGTCAAATTTACTCACAACTTTAATATTCTGATGAAAACCGTCGAAAATCTTTATTTCTCGGAGGCAAATTTTGAAACTGCTTTGGGTCAAATCCTCCACCCACAGGGCCATGGCATCCTGAGGTCGCTCTGGAACCTGGTGACTAGGAGTCACAAGTATAGTTGGAACGGACTGGAAACGCTAGGAAGAAATCAGAACGAACGTATAAATTAGGAATAGTAGCGAGCTGACGAGGTAGTTGGAATGGTGTGAGATTTAAAGGTGTGCGCACCTGGGAAGGTAAGTTAATGTACCGAAGGCGCTTCAAACTAGGGGAGTCCGGGGGCCATTTCCTACGTTTTCCTCGGAATATTTTCGGTAGATAAATACGAGGGAAAAATGCAGTAGTTAGTTGCTTTTTTACCCATCTCTATTGTTATTGGTAATTAATGTTACCGGGAAAAAAGTAAAACTGCAACGCAATCAAAGAGGTTACAAGCAAAGGGCAAGACGGCAACCCTTGAGACGGGCAAACTCTGTTACAACGCCATCAATATCAATTAACGTCCTTGTGCTTGTATATGTGCAGAATTGCAAGAGAGCTTAATCTCTCGTCTCTCACCCCACTATAACGTTTCTTGCAGTGAGCCGTTGATAGAACAATAAGGAGGAAGAAAATACTAAAAAAAGGGCTCCAATATAATGCAAAAAAAAATTATCTGTCATCGGGGTTTTATGAAAAAGTGTTTTCAGGTACTAAAAAAGATTTCAGCTGTACGCACGGGCTTGTGTGCGGATATGAACGCTTCGCTCCTGGCAAGACAACAGGATACAGTTACTACATTTAATTGACAATAAGTAGATTATACGTATAAATAGGAATTAATGACTGACCAGTGTTTAGTAATGACTATAAATAGAATGAGTGATTGCTTGTAAATTAAATCAAAGGGATAGGTCATTGGAATATGTTTTTATGGATAAGTATTGATAAAATTTAAGTGGAAGTTTAATTGAAGCCTCTTAAGTCACTTGGTGTAAATAATACGGGAAAATGTACACTTATAGTTCACGTGACTTATAGTTCTTCGATGTTAGAAAAGCGTCAGAAGTACACACTGTTCCAAAACAAAATAAAATACCAGAAATGCCAGCACTGTGAAGATGAAATTACATTTTGTTTTCTGAAAATATTATTCATATGTTTACCTTAAAATGGTTTATGGGGAATTGCCAGATTAATTTTTAGCGAAATTTGCCAAGGGGCATTCAGTAAAAGACAATATTCCTTAGATTTAAAAAAAATGTTAAGAAACGTTTTACTTTTTATGCATTTATCTCTTTAAGACTGAAAATATTATAAAAAACGGGAATGTCGATCAACATTTAATAATCCTGAAGTTTGTATAATTGATAAAAGACAGTATTTCAACAGCCTTAAATTTAGTCTTGAAAGGGTTAAGTTATTCAAACATCAAACATCCGGCTAAGATTTCAAGGACTCAGTGTCAAGTGTCAACTTAATATTCATAATATGCCACTAAAACAACTAGAAACAAAATTTATTTTTTCGGATTGACATCTGTCCCAAGTACCCGATACGGCTAAGGCCGGGGTGGCCGAATTCCATATATAAACATGGCGTTATGCATGCACAATAACATTGTTGTACATCGAAACATCTCAAGCAAGATTAACCCTTTAAGCTCTAAGAGTGATCAGCGTCAAATTTCTCCTTGTAATATCACTACTTTATAAAACAGAGTGGTCATGAGAATTACGGACATGATCACACAAGATGGATCCAATTGATACGTCAGGGTTTAAGGGGTTAATAAATCGCGCAGTCAAAAGCAACAAAATGAAACCATTTAATCCACTTCGGTAAATAAATCTGGAGCTGCCCATTTTCCTGGCTTACAGTAGAGTTCGTTTTAAACTTCACTTGGCTATTAAGCCAGCTTAAGCCAGCCCACCTCGACACTTGCTCGATCGCAGAAAATCCCTCACCGTTTTAACCCTTTTTAAAAATTCAAATTCTCGTGTGTTACCCGTATACGTTTTCAATAGAAGTAGTGGGGAGAATTTGTTGAAGTATCAATTAGATTCATCATTCAACTCGTGTGATCATGTCCTTAATTCTCATGACCACACTGTGTTACAAAGCATTGATATTATCACTCTTAGGGCTTAAAGGGTTAATCTTTAATTTTTACGTCCAGAGTCGCTGCGGCGAATAATGTTATTTGTTGTATTCGGTTTTATCTCGTCACTATTTTATCGTAGTATTAAACAAACAAACAACAACAATGACAACAAAGCTAACCTGGGGAAAGTCGATCCTTTTGCATTCTGTCCCAGTAGTCCAGGAGTCCAAGAGGGTTGTTCCTAACTGCGCCCCTGATGGTGTAGATTGCATGGCGACCCAATTAAATTCCGCTGTTTTGTTTGATCCGTCGCTGTATTCATAGACACAAGCGCGGAATTGGTTTGCATCCTCCGATTCCACCCAAATAGCAGCACCATTAGAATGAGCTGAGTTGTTAACTGCGTGGCCAAATGAGGCTAAGACTTTCACTTCTTTTCCACCCGGGAAAGGTTGAGTGAAGGAGATCTGCTTGCAAGCGAATAAGCTTCCGCCCGCTGCAGCAATATTGACTTTGCCGGCCTTAAAACTAGCTGCTATAAAGAAAAAAGGAGTAGTCACTAGATAAAAGATGAAAATTTAGCTAAAAGAAATATAGTTTTTAACGAGTTTCAACTATAATTGACAAACTTTATTAAGATCCCGGCTTCGTGTATATGCCCCACCCCCTAAACTCCTAGCCGTTTGTTGGTTTTCTCTTTCAAAAAAAGGCTGAATTTCCACAGTCCTTTGAAAAGTTTAAGCTTTAAACTAACAACAATCGGTTCAGTTTGTTAGAATCATACCGCGTTCCCTTTTCAAAACTCGCCTTGAAAGAAATCGAGTAACTCGTGACCAAGGATAGGAGAGCTTCTTAATAATTGTCTTATCATATTTCCTGGGCTGATCGGTGAGCTGGTGCCGGAGTGGAATATTTTGACATGTTGTAATAAAGTGCAATAAGTTACCTTCAATCCTCTGGGGAAAGAGCACCGTATAAGGTACACAGCAAAAAAGTAGCAGCAGAATATTGCGCTCTCCAAACATTCTGCTTCCAGTACAAAAGTGAATTTGAGATGCAAAGCACGCATTTTTGTACGTGTTGGATCCATCGACCTGTCCAGACATGTAACTGACTTAAAAATTTGAGGGGGAACCAAGCAAACTGTGGGAGGAGGTATTTCAGATTGCCACAAGGTCCCAAAAGGTGCTATCTAAATTGAAGGCAAAAACACCCTTTCTCTCCTAATCCAGTGGTTTATACTAACATCGGTATCCCCTCCCTCCAAAGATTCCTCAAGTGTTACGTTTCTTTGTTTGTTTTTTCTGTTACTGTGCCAAACGGAAAGCTTAGAGCCTTCTTGGTAATAAGCTTTCACGTTCATGTCAACGTTTGTTTAAAGTGACACCAGTTTGACACGGCTTAACAACTAAAGTGCTCAAAATGAAACCGCAGTTTATGAAGGGCATAAAGTGAAACTGAAATATTGGAATCACGAACGCACATGCAAGCAAAATATTTTTGACTTATTTTTTAAGCGAGAGGATATTCTTGTGTTTAGAATACCCTTATATTAACGTTGACTTATCGACTACTTAATTTTAGAGGAGGGCTTGCATGTTACTAAGTAAAGTGTAGTTGGAAAGACGTCATTAATTGTGTATGCAGTGTCTAAAGTACTTCTTTACAGCTATTTCGAGAAAGGTTGTCGGAAAAAGTGCACGCGACAATCCCGACAGCTATTGTGGATGGTTTTGAGTGCACTGGTTATCAAAAAAATTTGAAAGAATGATACGGGATGTTTGCGATCGCTACAGGAAAGCAACCAAAGTAGGTTCGACAGCTACAGTCGATAGGAACAGTGTATTGATCATATCCCATATTACCTTTCGGGATTGTCGCGTGCACATTTTTTCGACAACCTCTCTCGAAATAACTGAATGCTTATTGTTATTTTTTGATGGGAACCTCACCTTTTGAGCTGAGGCTGAGTCAAGACCTTAAGGTTCTCATTTATGGGGTGGTCTAGGTATCCTCAAAACGCCATGAAGTTCTAATTTGAGGTCCTTTTAGCTTTATATTGAATTATAAAATGGGTTTGGCAGGCCTGCACGAGGTTGGCAAGAATGAGCTGGAGTGGAGACTGTGCATACTAACAACACCACGGTCTATATAGTTAGTGATATGTCTAGGTGCAGCGTTTAAAAATACATACGTAAATAGGTAAATGGTTTAGAAACGCCAAATTTTGAATCTAGATATTCGAAACGTTCACCTTTCAGCTCCCTAGTGCAGGTTATTCAATTCACTGTAGACGTATAGGAAATCATGGTGTGATCTGCGTATTTTTTCACTACGCAAATATAGCTATGACTACTTGTTTTTTATCACGTTGAAATCCGTATTAGATCATTCTGCAAGAACAATATTGTTCTGCAACCTGCTCATGCAATGCCGAAAGGTCACAAAATTAATTCCGCGATTTAACGTGTTGGTGCCTATATATTTAATCCTACGGATAATTCTTTGGCTCAATGTATCTTCTTTATCAGTTAAACATGGCCATACTATTCCCTTACAACCTTTACAATTCTCAGTTTTATGAACAGTTGATAATTAAAGTTAATTGTCTACCACAGAAGAACGAAGAACTTAGTTTGCGCCAGCTCCTCTTCAGACTGACTGACACTCTTTGGCAGATGAAAAAAATGTTATCGACCATGCCATTTTTTGTTTTTTTTTGTAACGTTGATCACGCGTTGAAGAACATGTAAAGACTTGCTCTATTTTCTTAACTTCAAGTGTTTTAAATTAAAACTCTTTACTAGCTGGTTTTAATTAGCAAGGACCAAGTCTTCCCAGTTGAATCACGAACCTAGTATCGCTAGGCCACACCTGGTTTTGTTTATTCTGACGGACGAAAATTGAAAAATATTATTGCTGTTGCGCATCAATAAATTTTGTCTTCGTATACTGCAAAAAGGTCCCAAATTAAAAACACTGCTTGTATAATTATATCAACGAGTACAAGTCAAGTGTATTTTAAACATTGTCCATTAGGAGTTATAAATTCAGAACTAGCGTGACCCTACTATAAAAAAAAAGGTGACCGGCCAATAAGGTGGGTGACTCTTTGAGCTGAGCCAACTTTAATTTATGTTTCTCATGTAAACGGTTCGCCAAGTTGTTTTAAGGAAGAGTTGGCTTACCCAGGGTAGCTCGGGTAGGCGAGTGTACACAGGCAAGAGATCGTAATTAGGACAATTTTCACCCGGATAAACAAGGCCTTAGTCATGATTCCAGCGATATTTAAGCGTACACCTAGTCTCTTTTTATTATAAATCTCAATATGGAATTAAAATGAACCTTGTGAAGAAATCAAAAGTATGTTTTTAAACTCAATGCATAATTGAGATAACGGTATAGTAAGCAGCTCTAGGTCAAAATTAAGTCAGAGTAGAATATGTTGTTCATATTAATGTTAAATTCACTTGACCACGTCCAGCTGTATTGTAACAACATTCATTTCGCTGATTCCTTGCAGTATTGTAAGATCCTTCCCCTCCTCCACAGGAATCATTACATTCTCCCCGCAACCTCTCTCAGAGTATCCTCCCCCTCCGCCAGCATCAATTCCGGCTCCATATGGACCCTCACCTCCATCAAAACCTGTGTCAGCATTGTTATACCAGGCTCTTCCGCCCACTCCTTCTTGAAGAAATCCTTTGCCTCCTTCACCGCCATTTCCCATTAAACCTCCAAACTGAGTTGAACTTCTTCCGCTGGAGTAGAGCCTACCACTGCCACCACTTATAATTACATTAGAGGCATTTAGATTCGAAGACGAGGGCCACTTGAAGAACGCGATTTAAATTTTACTCTTAATCTCCTTGCCGTTATGGATCAGTTTGCCGTTTCATATTTTTTCTGATAGAACGCTGTTTCGAGTACATGCAAACAAATCAACAATAATAATAATAATGATAATAATAATAACAGTACTTAACAATTACTATTTAATGATGATGGACTGACTCAGGACTGACTAAGAACATTCGCATTCGTTTTTTTTAAATATATATACCAAGGATTTCATAGATAGAGGTTCGTTATATCGAGGTTCCACTGTAAACATTTCGCGGCTTATCCCTTTTCACAATCACTTATTAATTAAAGTGGTCACTATAAAGAATTTTACGCTAGCCAACAACAACGTACAGTAATTTGACATATATAGTCAGTGACCCAGAGACCCAGGGGCAGATAGTGGGGACGAGGGAAAGTCTAAACGGGCGAAAAAATGTGGCACGAAGAAAAGTAAACAACGGCGAGAAGAGCCCCTGGGGACGATGTCTTCCCAGACCAGTTCCAAACGGTCGCCGCCGTTCTGGCTTCTGATTGGTGCCAGAAAAACACAAGTTTTCTGGCACCAATCAGAAGCCAGAACGGGGGCGACCGTTTGGAACTAGTCTGGTAAGACATTGTCCCCAGGGGCTTTTCTCGCCATTCTTTACTTTTTTTCGTTCCGTATATATTTTTCCGCCCGTTTTTTTGTGAATTTTAATTTGTAGATGAGTTGGGTGAGGGTGGTTCTTTGTAGCCATACACTCTCAGTCTAGGCTCGGTCTCCAGTGGTGGGTGTACTTTGGGCATCTTGAACTGCATTTACCTCTACTCATGATAAGTATTCTGCTGTTAGGCGTTAGGGCTTAAGTTGTAGTGTTTATGACTTGGAAAATGTCTGAATTGACTAACTATTTTAAAATGCGAGCACTAGAGACATTTTATACTAACAATCGATATCTTTATGGGGAAAAATATTAGCTTTTCGTTCATAACACCCAAATTGAGACTAAAATTTACCATGTCTTTACCCCTCAGTGAGACGACAAGCATGGCCGTCTCTTTCACATGAGCAAAAGAGATTTCCTCATCCTCAGAGGAAGCAGGCACATGTTGAGATAAGCATAGATGATTTCTTACTAAGAGGACAAGTTCTACCTTTCCTTGAATATCTAGATTTATATGCACAGGAGTATGATCATTGACTATTGGTTCACACGGGGTTGACATCACAGCTGTGAACATTGGTATAGAACGTTAAAAGTAGAAATGACGTTTCAGGTTATCAGTATAAGTAGATACTAATTTATTTGTATTTGAGTGCAGTGTAATCGTTTAGAAATCTGGTTTATAGACTGTAATTAACATGTTTAAAAAATTAAATTTTACTGAGGTCCTTAACAACGGTCCTGTTTCCTTGACCAATTAAAACCGGCGTTTCGGGACTGAT